GTTGAATAAAAATATTTCGAAAATTATTTGAATTATAATTTCACTGACTATATTGATTTACTTACGAAGATACAAGCGCTGCATACGGAAATCTTCTCGCATAACAACTGTACACACAATGTTTAGGAGTTAGGTTAGAAGATATTATTCCCCAACCACTTATTAATGGATGTCTTTTAAGATTTTTGAAGCATCCAATTTTATTCACAGCCACTTTCCCTTGAGGTTCTAAATTTTTWTAATTTTTATTAAATATAGATAATATGACTTTATATTATTAATTAATTATTTGTATTTTCTCATACTTACCTAAATATAAAGTTTTGTAAATACTAAATGTACTTCTTCCACCACAATATTCCGATGGATTTTCTGTGCATAATGTATTACAATTACTATAACTACTTTTTAAACTAGAATTTGGTTCGTAATYCATACATTCACAGACGTTACTATAAATAATCATAATAGGTACAGTGTACACATTAATAATATTTGATAATTAAATAATAAATAAAGGAATATACCTACCCAAGGAAACCCCTAAGAGGCTTCAGCTCCTCCTATTGGCCGTATTAAGRTATACATTTTATTTAAAAAAAGTCAAAGTACAAACTATGATGTTTATAAAAACGGTTTTGAAGAAACATTGTACGTGATATTCAATCATTTGTACAGATTATTACGATTACCACGATTACAGGATATTAATAACGACCTAGTGTAAGGTAACGGATATCAAATTCTGATTTACTTTGTTTAGCCCCCCCCCCTACCATTAAAACATCCTTGTTTCACCATTGCACCTACCCCTTAACAGCAGCATATTTAAATCGTTGAGTATTGCAGAGATTCATGCACCGTCTAGGGCTATTATTTGTTCCCATCTGAAATATTAAATGCTTTTCTTTGGTTTTATTTTCATCAACGTTATTAGCATCRTCATAGCACCCAATATAATTTTTTGCCAAATAGTCTGTAAATTTTTTATTTCTTATATTGTTTACGTGTTATTAGATATTAAAACATCCAAAAAATATTTTATAATAACCAGTCATTCCAGTAGAAT